GGTCAGATTTAATCCCTCCTTCACAACATGATCCTCTTACAGGTAAATCATATTATTTCATCACTTTTTTTTTCTACATGAGAAAACCATGTGACAACATGGAATCACATGATCATGATAAAAATGTTACTAAACCAGATAAAATAAATGTGTAAGACAACATTTTTAGTGAGAATTGGGCATATTCCTTGTAATGGCAATTTGATCATTGTGTGAATGCATCTAAAGCATTCACACAGTTTAGATATTTTTTTCTTCTGTAGATTGTTTTTGTCATGTTTCTTGTTCTGCATTTTTTGTATTTGTACAATTTATATATTAAACCAGTCAGCTCCTTCATAACATTCCTGCTTCGGTACTTCAGCAATTCATACTTTTTGAGATAATAGCTTTTCCTGCCATGTTTTTTAAATTGAAAATGAATGAAGCTGTCTCCAACATCCTTAAATCCCTCCAAAATACTTATAAATCTTTACTGAACTTTTTAACTTTTGTTCTGGTTCTACTTTTTCAATTTCTTTGTGCTAATTTTATCTTCCTTTGTTTGGATGTGTTTTTTTTAGCTGATTTTAGATTTTATTGTGCATTTTTAGCTGTCGTTCTGGCCTTTTTTGCTATGCTTTTGCTAATTTAATATTCTCTGTGCCCCTTCAAGCTTCTTTCAGCTGTTTTGCTATTTTAGGCTATTTATGCTTCCTTTAGCTATTTTCTGCTCATTTAAGCTGTTTTCTGTTTAATTTTTAGCTAATTTGAACTTTCTTTTCAGTTAAATTTGCTTTTATGTGATGATTTCAGCTTTTTATTGCTTAATTCAGAAAACATGCTCTTTTTGTTTCTTTGTTCTAATTTCAGCTATTTCACACTTTTTAAAGCTATTTTAGGCTAGTTTCAGCAAAAATCCTTCAGCATTAAGCATTGAAATTGTATTTGCACAGGAAATGCAAATTATCTAGTTTACACATAAAAACAAAAAACAAAGAAAGAAAAAGAAAAAAGAAAATTTGCCTTAAAATAAAGTCCTGACTTGTCATTATTTCAGCGGTCCTCATCATTATTTTTGTCTCTGTGGTCTGCAGAGGTAGGGACTGAAGACCAAAACCCACATATGCACAACCACTTGTCTCTTTCTTTGTGTCACACAAACTGTCATGCGGTGGCCCTGTCCATGTAGCAAATATAAAGACACACACACTCTAAGCAGAGCTTCACCATCAGTCTTTGGGGTTGTGAGGTCCAGACAGATTGGTTGTTTTGCTCAGTCCCTGAGCCCCAATGCTGGTCAGACAGTTATTGTTGTAGCTGTTGTGTGTGTGTGTGTGTGTGTGTGTGTGTGTGTGTGTGTGTGTGTGTGTGTGTGTGTGTGTGTGTGTGTGTGTGTGTGTGTGTGTGTTGACTGCACTGTCGTGATACGATTGATCTCAGCTGCAGGAGCCCAAAAGGAGAAGTGAGGAATGCTGCAGCTCTGGGAGTGAAAAACACCCATTACACACAACGCAAGCCTTAAGATCTGTGGAGACCAGTTTCCTCACCGACTTGTTTGTTTTTCGACTGACCACTTTTATGACATTAAACCAAAAACAAATTGTGACATTTTAAATATTAAGTCTGATGGTTATCATTTATTATTATTATTATTATTATTATTATTATTATTATTATCATTCTAGTTTTATTCTAATACCCATTATCTGAACCATGACCATATATTCTCCACGTAAAAAGATAGTTCAAACCCTTAAAATTTTGGTTTTGTGGAAATGTTTTAAACAGTTACTATTATACCTGTTGACAACTCTTTGAATGACATCTGTTTGGAAAAAAAACAGAGTTTAATTTGGACCAGAATGTTTAGCTAATGTGGACAATAGCCAATGTGAAATGCTATAATCTTAAAACAACTTGGATATGAGGACAGCACGGTAGATCAGTGGTTTGCACAGCTGCCTCACTGCAAGAATCCCCAGGTTGGGCCTGGGAACTTTCCGTGTGAAGTTTGCATGTGCTCTTTGTGCTTACATGGATTTCTATGCCAGTTTCCTCTCACTGTCAAAAACATGTTTAGGTTGCCTTCAGGCTCAGGCCTCCATTTATAAAGGTTTATGTGATCTTAATAGGATTTGCCTGGTTAAGCAATAATATCATAAATATACATAAATAACATACATAAATCATAGCAGTGTATGCGAATGCTGTTTTGTAATCTTTTACAAAGCCATCAATTTTGCTTTGCATGGTAGTTTTTAGAACACTATAGATCCAGCTGTAGATTTTTTGTGCAGCCTGGCTCACTTCAGACAGGAATATCAGGAGGTTTCTTCTGAAATTATCATGTAATTCAAAACTGACAGTGGTTTAAAGGTTTGGAGGAACCACCGTGGCATTTTTGAGGTTGACATTGTTTTAAGATGGTGGCGATGCACTTTATTTTTGCCCTACATGCACTAGCTGTTAGCTCATCATTCTGATGAAACGGTTCAAACTGATGTCATTCAAAACCTACCTACATCAGGTAAGATATCAGTTGTTCATAATGTTTCTAAAGAACCTCACTGCTTCACACTTAAAAAGATCTGAACTATTTTCCTGATAGTTTGTCTTAAAGTTACATTTTTCCTATATTATATGTTACATTTTTTGTATTCTGTATTGTTTTAGATTATTTTTAATTTACTTTACAGTTTGTGGTTGAAATGTTTCATGTAGTTGTTGTATTGGACTTTTCCCCCAATTTTTATTTTATTTATTTTATTTTTTATTCAGCTCACATCAAGTCACCCTATAAGGTGTTCCCCAAGGCTCAATTCTAAGACCACTTTTATTCATTATATATGTTAATGGTGTTTGCAGGAACTTATTACAAGCTATCATTCGTATGCAGATGATGTCATCATTTACTGTTCTTCCAATTCTCTAGTACAAACTTTCAAATTTCTTCAATCTGCATTATATCAGGTCCAGTCAAATCTGACTCAGCTTAAATTAATTTTGAATGAAAAAAGAACTCATGTTGTTTTCAGGTGGTAAGTCATTACCTTTGCTTATTACCCACAACCAAAACTGTAAAAGGGACAGAAATTCAAATGGTCAACTCCTGTAAGTACCTGGGTGTGACCTTGGATGATAATCTCTCTTTCCAAAAACACTTTAACAAACTTGTGTCTAAACTGTCTGTTTTTGTCACTTTTATGGTGGATTGCATCAACTCTGTTACATTACAGAAGGTGGAAAACTTCACCAAAGTGAAACATAAATCTGTGGATCTGTGTTTGATTACTCTGGCTGGCTTTCTCAAGGACCAGGATGTGTGACACAAAAATCTGTGTTTTGGACCTGAAATTGAATTATGGAACTGAAAGTAAAAGTAGTCAAACTAAAATTTTAATGGAGCAAAATACAGTTTCAAAGCAAATTAATTCAGATGCAAAACTTTAAATTCAGTTTCACACCATTAAATTCATTTTCAATTTAGTAAAATTCGTTTTCAAACCAATGTATTCAGTTTCAAATGATGCACATTCAGATTCAATCTGAGCAATTCAAATTCAATTCCTGCTGGCACAAGATTTATCCCATATAATTCTCCCATAAGAGCTGGAAGAGGAGGCTAAGGAAAGAGAGGTCATGCCCACCCCTGCTGCTGCCCCATGACCTGACTCTGGAACAAATGGCAGGTTTTTCCACAATGCTTCTTAGTTTGATATCACCTCTACATTTTGGTCACTGTCAACGACTTGCTGCTTAAATGATTCACTTTTTCTGTTGATGCAATAAATCTGTTGCATGTTTAAACTATAAAAGCCTTAGAGGAGCTAGTTGACAGATTGTGTTACCTTTGATCAAAGCCAAGGCAGGCTGGTTTGCTGCTGCTGAAAAGAAAAAAAGTGTGCAGTAGAGCTTTTCATCTAAAATGCATACCAAAAAAAAAAGAGGCATTACCGAAAACGTCAAACTATTGCTTAAAGAGACTATTAAACTTTAATTTGCACAGCAAGTTTGGAAGGTAAGTTTGGCATGTAAGACAGCATTTCTAGCCAAGAGCCTTTTTTTCAGCAAATTCAATCATTGCAAGTTTGCTTGTTTCACAATAGCTGTGCTTTTTTGTACAGACTCTTTCACCATGAGAAAGATAGGCCTATATGAGAAGCTCTTCATTCTGTCTCATGGCTATTGAGCCTCAAACTCTGTATTATTGGTTTATAGGAAACTTGATTCATTAACTTTGGCAAAGACCCCAATTACTGCACTCAAATTACAGAATACAACTGTTGTAGGGCCACATAAAATACTTTAAAGTGCATTGTTATCAAGCAGCTTTTACAAATTTATATTTGAGCTCATTGGTATTTATAAAAATGAGGCAGGGAAAAAAATGAAGGAAAATACAAAGTGACAAAAAAAAATGAAGATTTGAAATGGAATGCAAAAGCATGGGTATTTCCCTGGTGGTGTATCAGTCTGACCGTAACAAACCTGACAGGGCTGTCAATGGCAACAATGTTGTCGTAAGTAACAGAGTTGCTGGGCGGTGGCGTGTAGATGGACAGAGCGGCGCAGAGAGAATTGGAGATAACAGGGAGCGTGACAACTGAATTACAGCTGACGGCCCTGAGATGAGCTCTCAGCAACAGAAAAACTCGACAGACAGACAATGCGGCACACAGGGAGGCAGGAAGAAGATAGAGACACAGAAAGGAAATTTTATCGGCGAGTCAAAAGCCAGAGGAAGAAAAATTCACAGACAGAAAGATAGAAATATAAAGACGAAAGTGAGAAGATGAGACAATCCTCGAGTAAAAAAATCAGAAAACACTTTATAAAGAGAGCTAGAGACAGAGGGTAGGAGAATTCTGAGCCAAAACAACGCAAACATGCAGAGAAAAGTCAGATGGAGTATCAAATACATAAAAAAGGGAATAAATCAAAGCCAGAGATTCAATAGGAAATATTATTTCAAGTATTTGTCTTTGCATGACTTAAAAAAAACACAACAAATTACTTACATGTAGCATTTGTGAGCATAAATTTGACCCACTTGTCCTCAATGTTACACACGTTACGGACAGACACCTGACATGTGTAATCAGCGAAGTCCTTGGGTCTCAGGTTTTTTAGTTTCAGCACCTTAGTTTCACCCTAGAGGGAACAAGCAACACAAACAAGCCCTGAAAAACATGCATTTAATATATTTATTTTATCATTCAGTTAAAACCAAAACCTTATTTTAAACATCCTTTGTCCCCACACCACATTTTCATTGCATTACAAATATTGATACACCAACAACACAATAATGATGTTTTCAAACTGAGTTCAAACCATGTTTGAAAGTCTTTAATTTTTTTTTGATTAACCAGTTAGATCAGCACTGTCAAACAAACACTGTGATAAACCTTCACCAGATGTGTGAAGTGACATTGTACAAATATTTTCAAATATTGTGTTACTTTACCTAAGTAGAAATTTGGATTATCTATACTTTACTGGAGTAATTATTTTTGAGCCAACATTTTTTAATCTCATTTCTATTTCATTTTGGTTTGTCATCTAGATGTGGTACCTGCTGGATAGAGTGAATTTAATTATGATTGAGTGAGAAATATAAATATACGCTATTTTGACAAACTATCGGTTTATCTTTCGCACCTGCTGCATGACACAAAACCTATCCTAACCTAACCCCCAGCAAAGACATCAGATACATGTACCCTAGTATGAAGACAATAGCAGAGATATACAGTATATGCAGCTGAAACAAGCAGCCCAGTGCATCCAAAAATTGTCAACAATTTAGAATTATTAAATTGATAATAAATTTAGTATTATAGGCAAAAAGCCCTTAGATTTAGATTTGGGGCTGGACTACGGGTCCCTGCGGCATGGCCAAAGCTTTTGTCCTTAAAGCTGCAGTAGGGAGTTCTGAGCCTGTCGTGAATGTGCTGATATTGCAGCAGGGCCACCGGTGATGGCAGATAAACAGTTGTGGCACATTCAAAACTCTCAGAAATCACATCTACAGCACACCAGCAATATTGAGCTTGAACAACGGTACTCGTGCAGTGCAAGGGCGTGAGCAATGCGTACTCAAGCGTGATTGACACTGGTAAGACATTCCTCCAGGCTCTGATTGGCTATTTCTGACCAGGAGCAATGTATTTCTGCAAATGGCAAGAGGAGAACTGGGAGGAGTTTGTCTCATATTCTACTGTCAGGACGTAGTGAGTTAGTACATCAATGTCAAAAGAAGTATCAATACTTGAGTAATGAATGTGAATACTTTTGACACTTCTGACCCCCTCACAACCCAACTTTATAGGTTTGGGTATTTTACAAACCCTGATAATCAGCTGCCAATCCACATAAAGACTTACTGTGGCTGATATATCTTCCAACAAGCTTCTACCTGGGACTGTTAACAAAATTGTTCTGATTGTATTTGGGAAGAAAATTTGTATCTTCCTCCTCTTTTTAAATTCATCTACTTTGCCATCATGTAGAAAGGTAACGCTACTGATGTTTAAAGTTAGTATAAACATTCATCTCTGACTGCAGCCATGTGGAGATGGTTTCAGCTTATGGGGAGGAGAAAGAACAACAGGAAGTGACCTCACACCTGCGGGTGTATCTGACCCTCTGTGTACCTGAGTGTAAAGAGGCTCGTAGATGTCCACTCCATTGTCTTTGCTCTGTTCTATGATCCTGGTGCCACGTTTCCAGATGAATCGAGCAGGAGGGTTGGAATTGACCGTGCAGCGAAGGAACACAGTCTTCTCATGATAGAAACCAACACGTATGTCGCCAGTGGTCTGATGCACAGTGAGGAATGGAACATCAAGGTCTGCAAAAAAACAAAGAGCAAATAAATCCAATCACAAAAAGCTTGGTTTTACGATGGAAGAACGTATTAGCATAGTACAGCACAATGCTACACTCTGTATAGCAGGGCTTTTCAATTGGCAGCCCACGGGCCACATCTGGACCGCAGGTGACTTCTGCATGGCCAATAAAAAAGGTAAAACATATTCATTTATTTTTTTACTTAATTAAATGACAAAATAGGTTTTAAATTAAGTGCAAATTTTGAATGTATGGTTCAAAGAAACAAAGTAAACAAATTTAATAGGTAAAAGATATAAACACGTATTGTGGTGTTTCCCCTACTGTTATCAGCAAACCCCCCACCCCCAAGATGTCTGGACCCTGAGCTGTTTGTGCTTTGTGTAACTGTGGCCCCCTCCCATGCAATTTAGTAGAATCGCCTTGCTGTATAGCAATATGTTACAGTTGTTTCAGACAGAGCTATAATAACTAATAGGCCTGTCACGATAACAAATTTTGCTGGGCGATTAATTGTCTCAAAATTTATTGCGATAAACGATAATATTGCCTGGTGACCGTTTTACAACTAATAATTATAAAAGCGTAATGTGTAAGTGTAATAAATCAATAAACTTTCATTTTTAAAAGAATGTTTAACAAAGTGGACTCTCAGTCTCTAACAAAAAAATGCACTTGAATAAAAAAAAACAACAAAGAACAACAAAATGTAAATTAAACACCACACACAACTAAGACAGTAAATAAACAAAATTAAAGAGCAGCATCTCTTTAGAGATGAAGCAAATTACACAGCCTGGTGAGGACCCACTGTTTCTTATGGGGACATAAGCCCAGTTCACATCCCATGTAAAGTTTAAGGCTAGGTTTAGGGTCAAATGGTAATAGAAAATACTGGTAAATGAATGAAAGTCAATGCAAAGTCCCCATGAGGATAGAAGAACAAACGTGTCTGTGTGTGTGTGTGTGAGGAGGGGACAGTCAGAGCGCTGCGGGGGAGGAAATCAGACAGTTCAGAGGTTTCCTCATGAGTTGTTGGGACAGCCACTGGTTTTTTGGGTGTTTTGTTAAAACACAGATGCTGCGTTTAAGTTTCCTGGTATTTTTGGGAGCTACAGGTAAAGTCTTGACGACTTTGTCGCGGGTCTGGGGGAGTTTCAGCCCCCACCCCTTCTCCTCCTTCTCTCTCTCTGTCTCTCTTTCTCTCTCTCTCTCACTCTGTCTCACTCCGTCTCTCTCTTTCTCTCTCTCTCTCACTCTGTCTCACTCCGTCTCTCTCTCCCTCCCTCCCTCCGCAGCGAAATCCAGGTTCTAGTTCTCCGACACTTCTGCAGCCGCGTTCTGCTTCGAAGCGTTTCCTTAGGAACTAGCTCTCACGCTAAAGCGAGAGTTGACTCCTCCCACACTAAGAAAACAGGAGGGGAGGGGTCAGCGGAGCTCCTGTGTTGCGGAGCAGAGAGGAGAGAGACGAAGTAAACAAACAAGCAGGAAAATGAAACTTATCGCCGTCTTTTTTTTACCGACCTCAAAAAAAGTTATCGTGCAATTAATTGATTTATTGACTATCGCGACAGGCCTAATAACTAATGCTATTCTTCTTTTGGCTGCTCACTTCTGCAGGGGTCGCCAGAGCAAACAAATCTCACAAAAGATTTGGCGATGGCCAGATGCTCTGCCTGAAGCGATTTAGGCTCAAACCTTCAGCCTCAGGATAATAAAACTGCAGGACTGACCATCAAGCTACTGCAGCCCCAGATATGAATACCACTGTAACAATGCCAAAAATACAGCTTACATTGAATTAAAAAAATATTTTTATTTTTATGATTCTGTCAACTTTTTGGCAGCGGATGTTGGCTATGTTCTGTCTGACAAGAATGGGGTTTACTGAGACGCAACCGTACATCGGCTCATTGTGTGCAGTTTGATTGAAGAACCCACCCACACTGACCAAAAACCATTCAAACACTCACCTTTTTCTAATAAGCTCAAATGTCTAAACAATCTGTGCATTTTGCCTTGTCCTTTTCTTTTTCTGACTCTCCCACACATAGATTTTTTTAGTAGGACTTTTTTATGTCATTTTTATGTCATTTCTACCTCATGCCCCCCAACACCACCATCCGCTTCGTATGCCTTGTTTTCCCTGTGCATTTCCTTCATGGGAGGTGTCGTTTCCCTTTCCCTCAAGTGGATTGGATTTCAGCTGCTGTCACGAGCATGGAGGCTGCTCTCCCCTGGTTTCTGCCATTTCTCCAAAACTCACTGCCACTTTCGCTACACATCACCATCCTTCTCTCTCCCTGTGTCCTCTCCTCCTCGCTGTTTGCCTCAGTGACAAGGCAGAGTTGTGTGTGTGTGTGTGTGTGTGTGTGCGTGTGTGTGCGAGAGAGAGACAGAGAAAGCAGACTAATTCGACTGTTGCAGACTTTAAACAAAAACTTGTTTCCAACTTTTAAATTTTAACTGTATGTTTTCATGTTCTCATATTTCCTTTTTCCTTTATTCCTGTCTCACTCACATCATTCCTACTATAAATCTTATTTCAAATGATGAGATGAAACAGTAGTCACTAAATTTCTTAACACTATCCAATCTGATTATACATTTTTGTCGGTGGAAGAGCCGCATTTGTGTGTTTTTTGTTGGATAATTTTGAAAATAAGCACGCTGGGTTTTGTGTGCACTTTTGAAATGGCCACAGCTGTCACATGAGGTGGTTTGCCATGCACACACAAGTGCACGAACACACGAGCACATCTGGAAGTACATCAACGAGAGTGCAGCCTAAGCAGAGCAAAAGAGCACTTTTGTGGATTGAAGGTTAGAACTCTGGAACTGACTGGTTCAGGGGAGCAAGAGGGACCGTGAGCTCAGTGAGGTGGATACAAACAAACAGACATTATGTGACAACTTCCTTTTCATATGAAAAGAGAGCCAAAGGGTCAGAGAAGGTTTACTAAATTATGGAATGGTATAGAGCTATCATGCATGATGCAAAATTAGTTATGATATTGTGACAGGATATAAAATATGCCAAAAAGTAAAGGTAAAAATAGACTAGGAGTGAGCAGTAAAAAGTAAGACACCCAAACACTGTATCCTCTGCTTAGATTAAAATAGCTAAACATCTTATAAAAAAAAATGTAGCTTTCATTAAACTATGTCTAAAATTTCTGAGTTCTATACTAAAAATAATTATTTCCTGGCACAACAAATTTGCAGATCATGTACACTGAGAGTTAAAGTTGAAACTATATTATATGCACAGTTTTACTTTGTAGCTAAGCTTCACATTTTTGAATTTCTTTAAGCCATTTACATTTTTTGCAAGGCAGAGTGCAGAGTATATTCCTTTTGCTTTCTTGTCCCTGTAGATGCTGTCAAGTAATAAAAGAAAACCCACAGGTTAGAACAAAAGACCTATCAAGAATCCAGACAATGAGGGAGGACCAGTCTCTCTGAGAGTTTCTGGCAAAAACAGGCCTCTAAGCACAGGCAGATACTGAATCAAAGATGTCCTGCTAAACTTACCACTGTGGCAGTCCATTCAATAAAGCTATAAAGCAATTAGAGAATATCTATTTTTATCTATTTCTAATGCATATACAAAACTAGGACATTTGAATTCAAATTGTTAGTCTGTGATATGGATATTATACACTGCCCACTGCCAAAATGTGTTTTTCACAACTTCATAGATTTTTGTCAGAAACATCTATTGTTTTTCTTCTTGTAATTCTGCCTGGCAATATCACTAAAATAGTATTATTCTGCTATTGCAACACAATATATATATAT